AAGCAGTGGTATCAACGCAGAGTACTAAAAGATGATGAAGTTGTTATATGTGAAGATACTGAGCTTGAAGAAAGAGTTGCTCGTGAAGGAACTAAATGACGTAGTGCTCTATGACACCCAGAGATTGGAACAGATAAGTTTGATGCTAAAGCTGCATTTCTTGATTATGATAAAAATAAAGTTGATGTTAATATTGAATTAAAACATGAATCTTATTTTACTACGTCAATGGAATACAATTACCATTTCAAACCTAACTTTGACCCTACTGGTAAAGAATATAAAGTTTATCTTTTCAGCTACTCAATGTGCAGATTTGAGTGAAATGATGGTAATGCTTATCCTATACAACCTATTCGTCCTACATTTGGCTTTATGTATGACCCTCATATTTTTATTAAAACGGACTTCTCTGAGCTTGCCAAACTTCAGATGGGATGATATACTAACGGATGAGTAGGACATGAATCTCCAGCTAATGTTCGCATTGCTCCTGATTGGTCGCCATCTCCTCCTCAAATAGGATATGACGAGTCATCAGATAACTTACTTATAGTCTTGCCAAACATGATTGACAACCCAGATTGGCATGACACACCATACGGACCAAAAGGCATAACGCTTTTTATAACACAAGAATAGGAGAATGATATGGATTTTATGTATTGATTAAAAAATTATTTGTTAAACACAACTGATTGATATGGAACAGCTTTCATTATCAACACCATATCCCTTTCTCTATTGTTTATTCTCGCTGTTGTTAATATTGTTTGTATGTGCAGAACAGGCTGTATTCGCACTGACGTTTGGTATATGATAAAGAAGCTACAGATTTTTCTTGACGATATGGATAAAGAAAAAGCTGATGACTTAAAAGAAATCTTTGACGAAGAAAGGAAGAATTATGACAAGTCTAAAAAAGATTAAATCCCCTAAAGAAGAAATTATTAAATGGCTAATTGACACAGCTATCGTTGCTGTTAGTTCAGCAGCTAGTGCTGCTTTAGGTATCATTGGTACCTCTGTGTTATTTGAGGAAGTTAACTGAGCTCAAGTAGGTAGTGCTGCTCTACTAGCTTTTATTGTTGCTATCCTCACTCGTATAGCTCACATATCAATTAAGACTGCATTGGACAAAAGGAAAAAATAATGGAATGGTTTGACCCACAATGGTGCTGAGATAATATCTCTTCTGTTATTATTACTTTTGCAGTAACAGGATTGCTTGCCTTTCTTGTTAATGCTGTTAATAGTATTAAGAAAAGTATCACTGAGTTCAGAGAGAAGCAAGATATAGAGTGTGAAGCCACTAAGAGCCTTCTCAAGACTAAAATAAATGATATCCATGATACAGCTATTGAGCAAGGATACATCAATAAATATACCCTAGACTGTACAGAAAGACTTTTTAAGTCTTATGTTAAGCTCAATGGTAATTCATTTATTGAAGATGAAATGTTTGAGCTAAGGAAACTTCCAACGAAGGTGGTGAAATAATATGGCACGCAATAAGAAAATATATATTGGCTTATGAGCATTATTCTTTATTGTCTTATTCGCTATATTGTTGTCTGACCCAACATATCTATTTACTACACCATTGTTTTTTGTTGGTAAAAATGAATCTGTCGATCCAAATCCAGACCCAGACCCTAACCCAAATCCAAATCCTAATCCTCCTAATCAAGACCCATATGCACGTCAAGAAGCAAAAGCCAAAAAGACTGTTGACCTTCTTGACGAAATCTCTGATAAAAACAAAAACGCATTAGATAATAAATTGAACCAGTCTAAGCGTATGTATGATATTTCAGACCAGCAAATCATGAAGCAATGAGAAGACGATACGAACACAAATGCTTCAATGGCTGGCGAAGATTGGTTCAAGCAAATACTCGGCTTACAAAACAGTGTTGACCAACTTAAGAATCAATCTGGTGGTGCTCTTAAAGGTTCTAATCTGTTTAATCTTTGAGACCTTGTTAATCTTGAAAAGAATAATATCAATGCCGACACGCTTAAAACACAACGTGAAAATCAGAACAGACTTAATAATGAATTATTTGAAAAGCTTTCTGCAAATGTTAATGCACGTAATGAGCTTGGTATCAATACAGAATATGCAATGAAACAACTTGCTAATGATGTCATGTCTCAGATGGCTTCTATCGACCCTGATCAAGCTGAAGGCAAGTTTGGTAAATATGATGCATGAGGTAATGGCCTTGCTGATGCTAACATGGTCGGTCCTGCCGAACATAAAGTTCAAGGATATTATACTGAAGACAACGCACAACAGAAAGCTAATGAGCTTTTAAAACAAAATACAAACAATCATTCTTCCTCTGCCAATTCAAACTATTGAGCAGATTTAGACAAGCTTTATAAAAAACCATACTAAGAAAGGAGTTATCATGGAAGAATTAATTAGTGCTATTCAATCAATTAGAGACACGGCTGATGCTATTTTGCAAGGCTTACAACAAGTTGGTGGGGCTGGTCCTGCACAAGGTGCTGCACCCGAAATGCCTTTAGAAGACATGATTCCTCAAGGCTCGCCTGCACAAGCTGGTATCCCTGCTGAAGAAGAAACTGAAGAAAAGGCTAAGAAATAAAATGAATTCTAAAGAATTTGTACAAGACGTATTACAACTACAAGAAGGCGTTATTCTTGACGACCTCTGACCTTGTGATGAAAAATTCAGAGAGATTGTTCGTCTGACTAATATGGCTATTAGAGAGTTTAATAGCTTGTCAGATTGAACATTCTTAAAGCGTTCTTGTATTATTGGCGATACTCATATTAAAGATTCTTCTATGGTTATCCCAAGATTTTATTTACCAGATAATGTATTAAAGGTTTCTACTTTGTTTGGTGATTGCCTGAAACTTTATCCACACAAACATTCTGGACAAATAGATGAGAGATATTATATTGAGGTTCCTTATGCTTCGCCAGGTTTTAAAGGTAGACGTACTATTTTTCAAGATAAGAAAAAATTACTTGCTGTTAAAAATGGTAGATGAATTACATTTAATCGTATGCCTGTGGACGAAGAACGTAATAAGGTTGTTGTCGCTGAGGTTCAAACATTACTTCCTGAAATACATGTGTGCGATTTTACTTGTCGTAATCACAAACATGAACTTGTTTATGTTGATGATGATGGTAACTTACTTGAGAAGATGAATGGCAAATGCTGTAAAATTGAAAAAGAAATTTTACCATATACCGAAATACGTACATACTTCACACTTAAAGTTGCATCAATGTCAAGTAGATATTCTCCACCTGCTGGTGCATTTAGGACAGAATTAAGTGAACAAGCTAATCAGGCTTTGTCTAAGCTTAAAACTCTTGATGGTTCTAAGACATTCCCTAATATATACCAAAAGCCTTTTATCGTTAAAATAAGGACTGTATAATGGCGAAGCGTAATTCTACAATTACTGCTACTAAAGAGGCTATGCAAAATGCTGTGCCTCGTGTATTGTCTTTTAATGCTTGACAAGGTATTGATATATCTAATGCTATGGTTGATTCTGAAATTGACCAGTTTCTCAATGATGAGCCAAATAATTCTGGCGAAAAAGGACAGCAAGATGCTAAGCCTAATTTTCTTGCTGCACAATTTAACCTTGAAACATTGTCGTCTGGTGGTATATCTACACGTCGTTCAATAGACAAAATTGCTGGCGAACCAAATTCTGAAACTGTATTTACTGGAATTGCACACACACATAAAGAATGAATATATACTGCTTGTAGAGACAAGAATACAAACTTACCTAAATTATGGAGATTTAATCTTGACACTAAAGAATGACAAGAAATAACCATAATAAATAATAGGGCTGATGAGCCTGGCGATTCTAATAAAGTCAGAACTATTACAGACTTTAATATATTTCAATCTTCTATTCTTGTTCTAATGTCTGTTGTTCTTACTGATGGTTCTACTGAGCAGGGCGAATGTTATTCTGGCGAAGTGTCTGATACTGAAACATTCTCTATATCAAATTCTAAAATGATACCAGAACCAAATACAGAGCCAGACCCAAATCCTGGTGGCGATGATTATTCTGATAACTTTACTGTCTCGCCTGTGAACATAGTTGAAGGTACTGTTTCTCGCCAAAGATACACTTATGTTTATTGTAATAAATATGGTTCTACTTGCGAGAGGTCTACGCCTATTACAAAAAACCTAAACATGTCTCCACAGAATTATTCATCAACAAACTATATTAAGTTATCAGGTATAATTCCTAAACCACTACATGGTCAAGTTGATGCTGTTGATATATACGTCTCCATTGGCGACAATCAAAACTATGCTTATATTGGCAGAACTTCTATTGTTGATGAAGCCTGGAGTTTTAATTGGCTTGGTTCATTCATGGACTCATCTCAATGAACACAAGGTTCTATTAAACTTCCAACACAGAATACTACTGGTGGAGTTGATGCTCAGTATGTCGATCAGTATGATGGCAGACTATATTTCTTTGGTGGACAAATAAAGGAACGTTTATATATTGGTGGTAATCCTGGCAATGAGCTTTCTGTATCTGCTGGTCTTGGTGGAGCATTTTTAGATATCGAGCCTGGTGCTGGTCATGAGATACGTAAAGTATTAAAGTTCAAAACGTATAATGGTGCAAGCACTGTAACAATACTTTGCTATCATCCTAATACAAATAAGTGTTCAAGATATAATTTGCTTGATACAAACTTAACATTAACAAATGAATATTCAGCACGTGGTTACGACACTGAAAAAGTAGACTCTGTAACAGGATGTTGTAGTTATTTTGGTGCGGATACATTTATTGATGGTTTGTATTCTCTTACTAGATATGGTCTAGCACTAACAACTAAGGTCCAGGAAAATCAAAACAATCTTAGAGTTAACTATTTGTCTGGTCCTATTGAACCAATATTTACTGATATAACAGGTGACTATGTTAACCACTCATGTTTATTGTGTATCAATGACAAGATTTATTTTTCATTATCAGACTCATTAGATAAACTGTCTTCTAATATTTTTGTTTACGATACTCAATTAAAATCATGGTATATATATTCTCTCGCTCATTTGTTTGGATTCATGCCTAATATAAAACATTTGTTTCATATTGACAATGAGCATAACACAGAGGGTATAGGCTTAATCATAGCGTCATCAGATAAAACATCTGGTGGTATATATCTGTTACCAACTACTGGAATGGAAGTTGAAGATAGGTATATCAAGAATGAAGATGATGGACATTATTATCCTGCTACTCCTGATGTTCCTATTCAGGAAGTTATTTTTGAAACGCATGAATTATCATTAAAGAATCCACCAACTCTCTATTTACATTTATGTCAAGTTGAGTTTGACTTTGATTATGTATGTTGTCCTAAAGGCCTACAGGTCTGAGTTGATGGTATAGATTTATATGGTCGTACGTTTACAGTTCTTAAAACTATTAAGGAAGACTATATTAATCATCATCAAAAAGTTTGTTTGCGTGTTGATAAAAAAGTTCAAACATTTAAATTACATATGAAAGGAAAGGCCCTTATCAAACTTAATGCTATTAATTGTCGTGTCTACCAACAATCTGCATCTATCGGTATTTCTCGTGGGTTTGATAATGTATATATGGAACGCAAACAGCGTAATATAAATACATTCCGTAATCATCAAATACGTTCTTATAATGATTTAAAAGATATTGTATTAAATTAATTAATCTTTATTAGACAACAATGATTCTGGTCTGGTAATCTTACAATGAGATTCTCCTATTTCGTATTTCTTTTTAAAACTATAATCCTCTATATTCTTCTTAGGATTATCTCCTCACTCTCCTTTTTCTCAGTGTCCTACTGGTATTCCTTCCACTGGTATCTTATCTTGATTCAATATACATTGCAGTAATAATAAATAGTTTATGCAATCAGTTATTTTTTCGTTCCATCTATCACTGGGGCACAGCTCTTCTCCACCTTTAATCATTGTTATAATAGATTCTACATGCTTAATCCACATACCTAGTCAAGCCATCTCTGGTGAGGTTCTAAGCATTTTAGCTATATTATTAAAGTTAGACAGCATGTCCTCTCCTGATTGATATTCTTCAAACTTTTTATTAAGTAAATCTTTACAGTCTTTCATCTGTGCATCTATTATTTCATCAAAAAATTTTTTATCTGTAATCATTATTCCTCCTATTTATCTTTTAATCCTCTAATGTATGCATGAATCTCTTTTGTATAAAGTCTTATAAGCTCACCTTTTTTATCATATTTGAGTTTATTTAACATTCTATCAATTTCTAAAATTGTATCATCAAACATTTTCTCTGCTACATGTTCTATGTTTGGCATACCACAATTAGCCCTTAATTTTTTAAGATGCTCTATTAAAGAGCGTAACGCATTTATTGGTTCTAATACTTTATTTTCTAAATCAATTTTACTTACAAACATCATCTATCTCAATTCCTGCTTTTTCTAATTGTTTTTCAAAATGTCTTAAGCACATAGCTACGCCCTTTTCTTCACAATCTCTAAAACCACCATATTTTTTAAAATATTTGCGAGGGCTTAATCCATCAAACCAAATTTTTTGTATCTCTTTACAAGTTCTTCTAATAACATCTCAACCATCTGGGATACGTGGTACCTCTTGAAAATATTGTTTGATTGTTTTACAACAATCGTTATAATTATATTTTTGTTTTCCAAATACTTTACAATAGATAGAAGCAGGGCATTTATTGCCCTTGCATTTCTTAAAAGTTGAATCATTAAATTCATATAAAATAATTGCAAGTTCTTCACAAGCTAAATCAAGTGCAGTTTTCTTACTCATTGTTACTCCTCCATTGATATATAAGGTTTCTTATACATTCTAATTGTTATTTCTCTGAAAGGTATTTGTCCTATATCAGAATATTTTTTTTCACTTAACTCGTGAAAATGGACACTCGTGTAACCTTGTTCAAGTCCTATCGCTAATTCTATGCATAGCTTCTCTATGATATCATCAACAAGGTTATCCATTAGTACTTCCTCCTCAAAATCAATCATGTTGTGGCTTTTGCTTTTCTCATTCTTCTTTAAGAATTTTTAATGCTTGGGCTTTATGATAATCTATTAATCATTCTTCTACAATTATCATTATTCTTCCTTTCATAAAATTATATCTATAAGTAAAAATGCTATCAAATATAGTTCAACAAATATTTTAGTTTTGTTTTTCTATCTCAAAACACATTCCAGCAATCACTGTCCCTAAGCTTACAATAAGAATAATAGCTAGAACTAACTCTCTTCTTATATTTCTCTACCTTCTGACCTGGTGCTATTCCACCATTTGCCGTATAATCCACGATAATTTTCTCCATGATATATTTGTCATGGCGAATTAAAATACGCAATCTGACAAATGCCTTCTTCCGTACTCGGCTATGAGTAAGGCTTCTGCGACACCGTCATGTACAACATATTCTAATACTTTTCTTTCAACGGTCTTTTTACCAACTTGTTTTTTCTCTTTTATAAATTTTCCGTTTTCATCTTTCTTATATTGTTTTCTCAAATTTATATTTATGTACGGGAATAGCTCTTTCGCTTTGTCAATACTTGCTTGTTTCTTTTCACATGATTCAACATTTCTTCCACCCTCAATAACTAATCCGTATTCTTTTTTTCATACAGGTGGCAACACTTTATTTAATTTTAATTTATTAGCTAATGCAATTCCTTGTGCCCTTCCTGTATTGCGTCCAAAATTGAATGTTGCTTTTGCACCACTATTACATATTGCATGTACATCTTCAATTATAAACATCACATTGTCTAATCTCTTTGCAAGCTGTATAGTTTCTTGTAGTTTAACATCATCAAAAATAGCTACATAGTAGGCTGTACCATCGCTATCAATCATAGCAATTCCTCCATCTGCTCCTGGATCTACTCCTATAATAAACATTTAAATTTACATTCTCCGTCTACAATCATGGATTTGTACATGCTTTCTTCCATGTTAGTTCATTGTTCTCTTGGTACACATATTATATTTTTGTACATCAAACACACTTGAGTTTTGCTTTTAGGATTTTTCTTCGTACAGTTTTCACATAGTTCATAATTAGTATTATTCATTTTTGTTTTCCTTTTTCTCCAATTTTTTTATACATCTTGCTAATAAATTCAACTTTAAATTATAGTCTTTTATTATATGTATCAGTTTTTTATTCGTGTCTTTTTGTTCTTGTAGGCTACATTTTAAAGTAACAAACTCAGAATTTAATTTTGCCGTACTTTTTTCTTGTATGTCTAATTGTGCTTTTAATTCGTTTATTTCTTTTGTCATTGATTCTCTGTATTTCATAGTTGTATTATACCTCATTTCTTTAACTGTGTACCCTATCAATTTGTATAAACATCTACTGCTCCTTGTGTTGGACAATGGTCATATACTATAGCAGGTCCCATGCTTAAATTTATTACTGTTCCTATCTCAATATCCATTGTATATGCAATAACAAAATATCATTTACTATTTACATACGACCTTCAAAAACCATTATCGTCTAATTGTCATTCATTAATTCTGTAATGTTTTGCTACCTTTGAGCTGTATCAAGTTTCTTTTAATCCATTATAATAAAAAACCCCACTTTCTTTAGTGAGGGTTTGCTTGTAGTTTATGTCTGGTTTTATTTCTCTATTTACCTGTTTAGTCTTTTTATTCTTATCTCCTAATACTGGTTGTTTATAGTTTATATTTTTTAATTCTTCACTTTTAATTTCCTGCTCAGCAATTACATTTCGTTCTGAAACTTGATTAGAAATAACAACAATACTAAAAAACATTCAGACTAATAAAATACATAGTGCTGTTAACAGTACAAAAATTATATTATTTTTCATTGATTTCTCCTTAGATATTTGGTGTTTGCATTTGTATATTATACACTATTTTCTAATATATATAATATATTTTTTTATTTTGCTCAGTCTGGTTCTACAACATCTATATGTTCTGTTATTTTCGTAGGCTCATATTTAGCTCCACCAGTTCTTTGCAATATCATATCTGCTGCTTTCTGTCTGTCTCTTTTCTTCGATACATTACCATTTGGTTTGTCCAGTGCAGCAAGTATTAATGCCTTTGCTAATGCTATGATTGCTGTATCGGTAAAACTAATATCAGATTTTTCTGATGCTGGCATCTCCAGTACTGTATCTATTGCATTACCTAATATGTTTGCATATTGTTCTCTTTCGTCTTGCTTTGGTACACTACCATCTATTCTTCGTATTATTGTTTCTATTAGTTCTACATCTCTTTCTTGAATTGCAGATAAAATTAAATCACTTACAGTAAATTCTTTTATGTTATATGAGTTCTCACGCTTCATTATTATTTCTCCAACAGAAAGCTCCGTTGCGTATTTAGAAAGCATGTTGTCTATCTTTAATCCGTTTTTATTCTTCTTTATTGTTGCTAGCTCTTTGTTCATTTACGTACCTCTCTCAGCTTTCTATTCCTCTTTTCTTACATTCTTGCATACGTTTGTTAGTCTTACTATGTCTCGCATGTCCTGGACACATTTCTTTAACTCGTTTTACATTTTTTCTATTTGGCAATACTCCTTTTTTTATACACAATTCTTCCTGCAATCTTAAAGAAAATGGTCTAATATAATCTATTCTTGTTGTCGACAAACAATATTTTCTTGGTTTACTGTTTGTCCATTTTGTACTATAATGTGCAATCATTCTTGCCATGCTTATAGTTGGACTGTCTGTCTTAATATCATATTCTTTATTATACATACATTCAATAAGTCGTTTATATGTATAGCTTCTTTGCATATAATACTTACATCAGCTTTTATCTTTTCTCATTTCAAGGATAAACTCTCTTAAGTCCTTTTCAAAATTATACAATCTCTCATTACAATAATTACTGTAATCTAAATTTGTACAAATAAATACTGGTACTGCACTTTTAAATTTACCACGTGCTAATTTCTTTGTTTCTTTTTTTTCATTTGCATCTGCTTTAGTTAAACTATATTTTTCTTTTCCATCTAGGAACGCTTCTATTAATCCTCCCATGCATGCTCCTTTGTACGTTTTTCTTTTTATATAAATCTGTTTTAATATTGTTTTCTTCAACATATTTCTCAGCATATTTTCCATAGAACGGCAAATGTTTATTACGTGTTCCATCGTCTTTAATATTGTAATAGTTCTTTTCTCCTAATAACATTGCTCCTGTTCTTACTGCATCCATCTTATGTGATGTGTAATCATGCTTTGGTTGGCTCGACCAATCATTCAATAGCTTTATATATTTAAATTCGTAGTTAAGAAAGCACTCCATTAGATGGTCGCATCTATCGCTATTTATAACCATATTAGGCATATGTTTTCTAACGAGGTTTATTCCTCGTTCTATTGTATCTCTTTCAACTTTATGCCATGTTATGTTAGGGAATTGAGCTTGTGCTTCTTCTATTGGCGTCATAGATGATGCTGATCTATCTGAGTCTCATGGTAGTCCTGACAATCTAACATACTTAAAATATTCTTCTAAGGCAAGTTCAGAGATACATTCAACCAATGCCTTACCCCTTCATTCTTTTGCATCGTATATAAACATCCTGTTGTCAATAAACTGAAATACAATTACTGCTGAGTACTCTGCGTTGATACCACTGCTTGCTATATCTCATGATAGATACACTGGTTTGCTTGTATCTATATTAAAGCTACAATATCTTCCTTCCTTTTGTAGTCTTTCTATTCCTTGATAAACTAATCCTGAGTTTACTGTTGTAAAATCACATTCGTATTCTTGGTGGAAGTAATTTAAGTTTCCATATTGCCTCATTATTTTTAGCTTTAAGTTTTCCAAAGCTTCATAATCGTACATCTTCTTTCATCCACCATTACCATCAGGTATGATTACATCATGTATTGTTTTCTTGTCTACATAACAATCACCGTGTTCTCCTGGAAAATCTGCTGGATCATCACAGCCTGTGTAAGTTCTTAACAACTCATAATAATCATTACGTATTCCACGAGGTGTACCATTAAAGACTTTAATGTTTACATCACCACGTCTTTCTTGTTGCTCTCAGATAGGTTGTACATAAACAAATGCACCTGGGTCATACAATGATGCTTCTGATATATATCAAAAGTTATGTGATGAACCAATAACACCATTAACATTTTGTAGTCCAATATATTGAATACGAGAATCGGCCATCTCTCTTGTCGCTTTTATGTTTCTTATATCAACAGTCTTTTGTGTAGCGTTTGGCTTTATCCCTACATCTTCATAATCACTAAAGAATGTACGTCTATCAATTCTCTTATTAAATATATTATCAGACACTCATTTGTTATTAAGACCTATATATGCACTTGACGTTCCTGGATTATCATATGCTTTACGTAGACAGATTTCATTGCACGTTACATCTTTGCCAAGCTGTCTTCCTCATAGCAGAAAATATATTTTGTATTTGCCTGACATAATACGTCGCCATGCCTCAACTTGATGAGGTCATGGCTTTCAGTACTTTGGTAATTGTATGTGTTTATTTTCCTGCTTTAACATCTTTATACTTTTTTAATGCTGTGATAATCGTATTTAAATGTCCCTTGTATACTTTAACTACCAATGATTCTTCAAACAAACATTTAACCATTTTGTCATGCAATTTATGTATTCCATCTACAGAGTTCGATGCTTTCTTTATATCATCTATTGTTATGTGTGTCATTAATGTGTCGAAGTATTTTATGCCAGAGCCTTCCATTAATTCTTTGTATGTAAGTTTTTCTGCCATTTCTTTTATCTTCTTTAATACACCATAAGAATATTCAACCATCTCTGTAGACTTTGCATATAGGCTTTCAACATGCTGGTCATTGTCTATATCATACATATATACAGTCTGAACCATATTTCTTATTGACATAACCTTGTCTACATTTAAATATTCTTCAATGTCTTCATTGATAATATTCATTAGATTTGGTTTAAACCCTTCTTCAAATATTTCTTCTGGGCTTTTTTTGTTTGGGTTTTTAATTTTTAATTTTGCTGCACTTTTTTTTGCTGACATAATTATCATCTCCTTTTAATCATCTGTGGATTTTCATCTAAATATCTTAGTGCTTTACCTAAGTCTTGGCTTGCTTCTTCAAGTGTTACTTTCCCATCATTTTGTTGTTGGTTTCCTTGTTGTTGTCCCATGCTTGATACAGCATCCAAGGCTGGTCTTACAACAGGTCCTGCATCAACTTGTTGTTGTTGTTGCTGTTGCTGTTGTTGTTGGTTAACTTGTTGTTGCTTTTGCATACTATCAAATCTTTTTGCTTTAACAGATAACTCTGCATAATGAGCTGCTGTTTCAAGATTTATATTGTATCCACAAATATCTCCTTTTTTATTTTTGATAGCATAAGGTGCAACTAATTCTCCTAGTTCTTGTTTAACTTCATCGCTCAAATTATTGTATGTCGTGTTTAAAAATATCTCTGCATCAATACCTGGTTTTACAGATTTAACATACATTTCATATCTTTGTGCTCTAGTCTTTTGAACTAAGTCTTGTGCTCATTTCTCAGCTTCGAATCTGTCAATAATATTTCCTGTATCTGGGTTGACAAATACACGCTTTCCTTCTTTGAGAGCTTCTTGGTCCATTAAACTATTGATTGCTTTTTCATATATCTGTGCATTTTTTATTTCGTTGTCAACAGTATTTATTATTTGCTGTTGTCTTTTTTCGATATATGCTTTTGTATCAAACTGAACATTATGTCCTGCATCATCATTAGTTTTTGAATCAAGTCCTTTATCTCCTTGTTGGTTGAGCTCAGAATCTGGTATGGCATTTTCGTTATCTCCATCTGTTTGCGTATTTCCATTTTCTTGAACTTGCTCTCCATTCACTCCTGAATTGTTTTGTAATTGTTCTGCTCCATCTCCGTTGTTATCTGGATTAATAACTTGAGATGCTTTTGATTCTTTATCATTAAGCTGTGCCAACACGTCTCCGAGAGACTGTGGCATGGTGTTGTCTCCCGAAATGTTATTAGTTGATTCTCCTGATTGTTGAGCTGTTTGGTTAATTCCGTTACTTTGTTGTCCAGTATCATTGCTTCCACTCTGTATTTGTTGATTGCCTGGATTGCTATTATTATTTTGAACTTGAGTCGAACCAACAGAATTAGAAGGTTGAGTAACAAATCCTTGTTGCGTAGGCGTTTGCTGCTGTCCCGTCATTTGTTGAGATTGTTGAGCTGTTGCTGGTACATTTGCTCCTCCAGCATTTGGCATCGTTGTTTGTACACCATCCATTAATCCTCCTTGTTTTGTATTTTAATTATTACATTTACTCTTTTTAATATAGAAGATATTGTTCTTTTATAATAAAGAATATAAACTAAATATCATCGTGACCACCCACTCTGTGGTCTTATTACATATGCATTTTTAAGTTTGTTAAGATACTCACACAGTGATTGTGGTTTGTCAAATAGTTTTAATATTCCATACTTTTTTTCTTTCATTGTTTTATTCATGTATGTGCATATTTTTCTGTGCTCTTCTATTTTATCTATGTCTGGTATTATATCTGTAAACTTATACTCATCATATAAATAATTTACTGTTGGTCAATCACTAACAATATCGTATTCTTTATTTAAGATATCTTCTATTTCTTTATACAATACTGAAATTGTATCTTCTTTTATTTTCTTCATTTATAATCCTAACAGTTCGTCTTCTCTTTTTTCTCTAAGCATATCTCTTTTGATTCGCTTTTGAATTTCATTAAACTCATTGTTCATTCATTCTTTATCAATTACATATTGACGACGAAAAACTTTTAATACAGAGTTTTTATTTCTAGCACCATCAAGCTTTTCATTTAACTGTGCAAGGTACATTCCTCCACGAGCTTGTCTTATTACAGCCATAACATGTGCTCATTCGTAATATTCTTTTCCGTTTACTATTACTGTTTTAAACAATTCATCTGGCTTTCATGTTTTACCAACGTTTTGTAATGGACCTCCAGTTGTTGCGACTACCTTCTTATCAAGATATGTTTGGTGTCCATAATGTCCTACTGCGTAATCTCCACGCTTAAGATTTTCTGGCCTTCCATTCTTTACATAGTCATCATCACTGTATGCAACATCATTATTTAGCTCTTCATTAAACATGTACTTTGGATACTTTGGTCTATTGTCTGGTTTAATTTCTGGTGCAATAATAATGTCTTGTTCCTTTAATACCTTTGCCGTTGGTTCTTCGCCTTCATCTTTGTTCTCGTATCTAACACCATAAGCTTTATTCTTTGCACGTTCTACTTCCAACTCTTTTTTTAATCGTTGATATTCTTCATTCGTTGGTTGATGTTTTGCTTGTTCAAGTTTTCTTTTTTCAGAGATAACAGCAAGCAATTCATTTCATGCAAGTTCTTCTGGTCGTGCAATACCAAGTCTTCTTGCCTCAGCAATAGCTTCTTCCTTATTCATGACTCTCCTTTCTTTGCTCTATTTGTACCTTAAATAAGGTCTATGCTATCTGTATGATAACATAGACCAAATCATTTTTCTACAAAAAGTTTTTCATTATTGCAAGCATCTCTGCCAACATTTTAAATTCATACATACATTGAGCAGTTGTTGAGTCTGAAAAATTTTTTTCTTTATATGTAGGTTCAATTATTTCCCCTGTGTCTTTATCTACTTGTACTATATTTTTCATTATTTAATCCTCAAGCTTTCTCCTCTTGGTTCTAACTCAGCAATGCGAACACCATCTACCTCAATGTATGATTCTCCCTCGCTGTCTTTAGCATAAGCCTCACATAATTTTCTTAGCTTATTCTTGTCAGCTTCGTATGTAACCTTAACAGCGTCTAGACATCCTGGTATTTTATCTACATCAACTAATACTTTAACTCCACGCTTGCCACCATTCTTTGCTATTGTTATATTAAATGTACCAGCTTCGCAACTCTTTAAGTCTGCTGTGTCCATACAGTTCTTCATGTATTCTTTTAGTCTTTTAATATTATTTGTTATTATTTTCTTTTTCTCTTGTCTTGCTTTTATCTCATCATCAAGTACTTTAATCTTACCATTTAGTTTTTCTAATACATGACAGCAACCTTCAAGCTTATCGTTAATCAATACATCTATTGATTCAAGTGTATCTCTGTACATCTGCATGTCATCTTCAGTACTTGCGTTCTGTGCCATGTTAAGTACTTCAGCCCATGTTCCTGCTAATTCAAATAAAGTATTATCTTCTTTCATTTTAGTCCTCCTTATACTTATTGTAGATATCTAGTAATCCACCTATGTTCTTGTAAACTTTTAATGGTACTTCATAGGTGGAAAATCGTTCTCCACAATCCAAACACTCTCTGCGTCGATAAACTGTTCCATGTCTTTTTCTACTATCGATTATTATTATGTTTTCGCTTTTACATTTAGGACAGTCCATGATGCCTACCTTCAATCAATTCGTTCCATTGTATATCAATACAATCTTTAATACTTTCAAGTTCGTTTATAGTTTCATTAAGCTTTGTCCTTACAGTGTCAGTTCCTTTCACATCTGTTAAGACTTCTATTATTTCTTCGAGTGCCATCTGTACACTCGTTATTCTATCTAGTTCGTCTTGCATATCTTAACCTTTCTTTAATCTTCGTGTTTCTGACCAGTGTCTATACTGGTTACATGTATCGCCAACACTTCTGTTCTGTCCATAGTATGGACTAAGTTGGTTATGACAAAAGACTGCACACCATTTACATGTTGCACAACATTCATCAGCTCGTTCTTTTAATTTCATTATTCCTCCTCGGTCTTTTTAAACTCTCAATCATCTACAATTTCCTTTACACATTCTTCTTCTGTTTTATCATAGATTGTGTTAGGACAACATTTTGTTTTAACAGCCATCTTGCATCTTTTGTTTTTACATTCAAGATGGTATTCAAAAGCACCATGGTAGCCATGACTACCTTCTCATAAAGGCGTCTTAACTAGCACAGGTGACTCATGACAAAAAGGACATTCCAATGTATTCACTGGAACACTAATAGAACTGTCGAAATATTTATTCATATTTCTTCAACTTCTTTCTTTATACAAGTATATATAAGTATATATATTAATAATAGTTGTGGAATTGTGGACAACTTACTTGTTCCCAGTTCCATATATATTTTTTATTGTTGATAAAATTGTTGATAAAGTTATCCACAATCTGTGGATAAACTGTGGATAACTTGTGGAATTTAGAATGGTATACTGTCATCAACAAAGATATCTGCTGCTTGTTTTTGTTCTTGCTTAGGACTCAATAGGTCTACATTATCTACCATGATTTCAACTCTGCTACGAGTCTGTCCATCTTTTTGCCATGATGAGTAATGGAGTTTTCCATTGATACCAACTCTTGAACCTTTGTGAAGATAGTCCATTAGCTTTTCTCTACCAAACATTGTACAATCAAAGAAGTTTGTATAATCTACTCACTCCTCATTGCGTTTAATTCTTTCATTAACAGCAATCCCAAATTGTATTACCGAAGTTCCTGATGCTGTTTGTCTTTGCTCTGGGTCTCTTGTTAAGTTCCCAATTAAATTTACACTATTCATTTGTACCTCCTAATAAAACATCTAACTGTTCTTCCACTACTTTTAATTCACCAGTGTTTGCGTTCATTAATTTTCTGTCATCTTTCAATATGTCTTTGATGACTTGTCCAATGACATCATTACCACAACCTTGAATCATTAATAATTTTACTTTGCCTCTTACCTTTTCGTATTGTTCTTCTCAATCCTTTTTCATTTCTTCTACCATATCTTTTGGTTCATGGATTTCTTTTACTTTCTTTTTAGTTGTGGTTTTCTTCTTTGGTGCTGGCTTCTCTTCGATTACTTCAGCTTCAACTATTATTTCTTTCTCTTTTGTTTGCTTACTTTTCTTTTTCTCTTTTTCAATAGGTTCTATTTCTTCTCAAGGTGTAGCTTCGTATCCTGCCATCTTCAATAGATATCCAAGTATAGTTCTGTATGCCTTACCTATTGCACGAGTCTGTGCCATAGATTCTACTGCATACTCTTGAAATTTCTCTTTGCCTTTTTCTTTATTAGAACATGTAGCAAATCCAACGCCCTCTATTCTATCGTTTGTACGATTACGAATAGTTACTTTAGCACGATACTTTATTTCATTGTCTGTGCTTACATCCTCTGATGACTCAACAATAGGATATAACCCGCACAATGCTCCAGCCATCTGTCAGCCTTCAACATTAACATATGCTTTTTTAACTCCTTTGCTTATTATTTCTGAAAACAATCCATTATCTAAAATCATTTTCTTTAAGTCATTACTGAAAGCAATTAATTGTTTTGGACTTGTTAGTTCTACATTAGTTTCTTTCTTGCTGATTGAAATTTGTTTTGATTCAGTCATAATTCCTCCTTTATAATCTATTTGCTAGTTCTCTAATAGCTGTTATTGATGCTTCATAACAACCATCTAGTTCATGTCCTCTTTCATCTTCAACAATACATTCGTTCTCAAGACAATCTTCATACGCTGTACATGTTGAGCAGACACACTCATCATTCAGTTGTTTTTCTGCTTTGTCTAATCTCTCTGTATAGCTTTCTTTTTTACTCATAATTCCTCCTCAATATATAGCATATATTATACTATATCTTGTTATTCTTTTTCATTAATTCATTTATTATTTCTAATTGATTTTGCAACATAACATTTTGATTCAATTGTAACTTGTTTAATGTAGTTATTATCTCAGCTATTCCTATTGCAAGCGTTGATATGTCTGTGTCGTACATAAACTTAACATCTTTTATCTGTGTTTTATTCTGATTCATTTTTATTCCCTTCAGTTCTTGCATAAGTTTCTTTTAAGTATCACGTCTGGATTATTACTTGTTACTTCTACTCCTCCAACATTATTCTTCTTGAAACTATTGCGTGAACAATGTCTTGTCTTACATGAGAAGCACTGTGATATATTGCCTTTTCACGTTCTGTTATCATATGGTATATATCTATCTACCATCTTTCCTCCTTAATAATCTAACAAATCATCTAATGCTTCTATTAAATCTAATGGTAGTGTTTCTTTTCCATGACTAAACCACCATGCAAAATGAAAGCATTGGTCTTCTGTATCAATTCAAGTTGATGGTCCACCTAAAGATAACATTATCTTTGCACCAACATATTCCATTCCGTTATGTGTTTCTTTAAATTTTCTATTAACTTCTAATGGTTCATCTGCATATCTGTCTTCATCTTCTTTCATACCTAATATACTTCTTGCTTCTTCATGTCAGTCTTGGCTTTCATATTCATTTACTTTATCTCAGTATTCATTTGCGTATTGTTTCGCCATACCATACGCTGATATATCACCATCAGATATATTATAGCTATGCATAAAAGCATCATGAAGCATACTCATTGCTTCCGATTCTTCTTCTTCAGCAAAATCTTCATCAATTATATCTTCAATTTGTTTACTAATTTTGTCTCTAAGTTCTTTACATTTATTTTGCATCTCTACACTTGTCAGCATTTGTTCCTCCTCTAATCACAATAATGTCTTACACCTTTTACGACATCTGATATAAATGACGCTACTGAATCTTGTCTTGTGTTAATTGTTGTATGTCCTCATGGTGTATCAAGTTCAACAACATCTTCATCAGCATCGTAATCTAATTTAATATAATCAATATCATAAGTTATGATAAAACAACATTCTAAAAATATTAATACTTTTTCTTTTTTAATTTGTTCTTGTGTTTTCATTGCTCCTCCTATCAACCAAATATATGATGGATATAACTATCTAACAATTCTTTTATATATTCGAATCAACCAAAGCTATCCTCTGCATAAAACTCTGACTTTCCTATTTCGTTTCTAAAGAATAAATCTTTTTCAAATCTTTTATTATTTATCATTATTGTTATTGTTTGTTCTGGTCCATCAACATCAAACTTAATATTTATATTTAATTGTTGATACAGCTTTACTAATTTATCGACAGCATCAATTCGTCATGTTGCTGCCTCATAGTATGTCATTAAATGTATATTGTTCTGCATATCTTCTCCTTAAAAGTAAAGGGGCTTTCGCCCCTTATCTTTAATACGAATCTGATTCTAAAGCATCGATATGGTATCTTATAAGTGCTTTGCCCTCTTTGAGAATAAGCATGCACATATTATCAAATCGTATATACATATCTTTATATTCGTGTTCTGTAATATAACATGCCATCAGTTGTTCCATCTTTTGTCTATCGTTATCACTGATTTTTTCTTTTGGCAATTTCATAGCTTTGTTTTCATAGGCCTTTACATTAGTGAACACCAGCCTACCATCAAGTTTAGAAACAAAATCAATCTTTCCAAAAGGGCATTTATAATCTTCATCTACAATTTCATGCCCTTTGTTTTCTAAATAAACTTTAGCTACTTTCATTGCTTTTTTCTTTTCCATTTTAAATCCTTTCTCTAATTTTTACTTCTTGTTTTTTTGTATCCATCAGAACATAAATCATTAATGATATTATGTTCTTTTGCTCTGTATGCACATATAGTTTCAAGGATATTTTCTATATCTTCTTTATGTACATATCACTTATAGCCTTCATAGGCATCAAGTGATTCAATCTCTGCAATCATAGCCTTGTGATTGCTGTTCAATAGTTTAACTAAGTCTTTCCTTTTCATTTCAATCTCCTTTTAACAACCAACATTTGAGGCTCAGATTAAGCCAACAATAAATCCTATTCCCATCAATGCATAAATGAATAGGACTTCCTTTAATCCTTGATGTCTTTCAAGATGTCATCAAGCTCACTCAATGACACCTCATATAAAGTTTTCAAATCTATTCATCATCCCTCAATTCTTTATCTCTTGCTTGAATCCAACATTCTAAATCGTATAATCTGACTAATCTTTTCTTTGGTGAGATTCGCACAAATGGTAAACCTCATTCATTGAAACACTTATCTAGTTGCGATAACTTAATATTTAAGTACTCACAAACTTCTGGAAGTGTTAAATACTTTTTATCAACATTCATCATCATCATAAATCCTTTCCTCAAACTCATCTCATTCGTCACAACAATTTGTACCAAATGTTTCTATGTTTCATATGTAGCAATAATTATCTTCACAATTATCACAATTAGCACAGCATCTATTTTCCATATTTCCTCCAAACACACTAGGTCAGATAAG